CGAGCGTACGGCGCGTTACATTCCGCTCACGCCTCAGAGAGTCATCAGACCACCACGGATAGGGCCCAAAGGGGCTGATACCGATACGGAGCCGCGAAGAATGAAAAAAGGTTATCGGACTCCGCCTCGAAGTGCAGGAGTAGGAACAGGGTTGTTTTTTGTCAATAAGAGTCTGACACTCCCTCCCGACTCACCCAGGTGGATGAAGTCATTCGATGATTATCCCCTCTTAAAAAACCCTTTTAAACTAAGAGCTCTAGCGCATCTACCATTCGTGGAGTGGATATTATAGCAAAAATCTGAAAAGATCTAAGCGACATTGGCAGTGATAAATTTTTGTCCAGTATAATACAGGCTTTTTTTAAGGGGGGAAAATCATCGAATGACTGCTCCCGCCTGGGTGCGACGGGAGAGTGTCAGACTCTTACTCCCGCCTGGGTGAGGCGGGAGAGAGTGTCAGACTCTTACTGACTAAAAACCACCCCGTTCCTTCTCCTGCACGTCGACCGGAGCCCCAGTTACCCGTTAGGTTTTCCGCGACCAGGTTAGGCACCTACTTCTTAACTCGTTGTCACGGGTAAAACGGCTTGCGGAAGTTAAATGTAAAGTATCTACGTACATAAAAACAGTCGTTTATCCTATCATAGCACATATCCTAGAAACTTTTAACTATGTCACAGCACGTGCAAAGCAATATGAGATGTTCGCATCACTACGAAGATCGTCTTGAATAGTTCGTATTATACAATTCGGAACACGTCGCGCGAAACGATTTATTGGTGCATAGCAATATCTGCGCAAGGTTAGATGAAACGTGTGGTATTATGTGTTGGTGTGTTAAAATTCATGTTAGAGGGTCTAATTTTCATGATGGTGTTTGTTTGGTAAGTTAATACACGGGTAGTACGCAACTGTCGAACAAGGGCTCGCGGCTTAAGTTCCCGGATGGAGAGAGATTTTAACGAATATTTTTGAGCGGTAATACCTCTAATGGGTTTAACATGATTGCATTTTTGTGACAAACGAGCTGATAGATCACCTAATAGAGTCGAATCGCGACAACACAAAACCTTACCAGAAGAATTGCCAGCCTTCGAACGGGAGGAAATGCTTTCTAGAATTTGTACAATAACTTATGTTTAAACTTAACATTTTACAACCAAAGTCAATTATATTTGTATTGTAACTTTCGTGAGACATACTAAATAAATTATTATGTTTTCGGCTTACTCACGTAGTAATTCGACGAAGAACTCGATTAGTTTCAAGCCATGCTAGAGGCCACGCGAGTGCCACGCGCGCCGCCGTCGCCGATACCACGAATGGAAGCAAGTGCGCGTGATTCACGGCAGAGGGCGCGCTGGGCCCGCAGACTCGAGTAGCCAGTAGCAGCGCGACAGTCGCCGTGGCGCGGGTCGCGAAATGCTGCTCATGAATATGAGCCTCTAGCAATTACTACGTGAGTAAGCCGAAAACATAATAATTTACAAAGTCAATTACATTGACTAGCAAAAGAAAATATGAATAGGACTACATAGCTTCATTCCAAGTTCCAACTCCAAGACTACTTCCTTATTAATGTATTGAACGTCGCCTAGGTAAATAAACAATCTGCCTATAACCTTCAACAGAGCATGTTTATCGAGCCTTCAGGAGCATGCCGAGCGTCTAAATGAACAGATAATTTTCATTTTACAGCGAATGAAATTGACACGTCTTTATCGAAGGTTCAATGAAGTTTTCCTTTACCTATTTAAGATTAGTGTATAATTAATCTATATATATATATATATAAGGTGTTAATAAATTAGCTCTAAATATTTTATGAGGTTGGTGGGAATCAATAAACTGACACGTTTAGCAAAAAAAAATTATCAATTTTAACGACTTTTATTTTTAACAAAAATAAAGGAGTTGGTTAAGCGTTTTTGTGCAAACCGTACGTGGGCGTGAGCGAAGCAATGGCGCGCCGTCACCGTCCCCATGTTATCGCAATCTCTCTCTCTTTCTCCCTCTATCCCGTTCGCTAGTTGCCCCGCTCTCTTTTCCACTTCTCTCTCTCTCGATCGCCAGTTGACCGATAGCTGTCGCGCGGGGCTTCGTCGACGGCCTAATACGCCGTACGGCGCGCATATTAAGCTGTTTACGTGTAACACAAATAGTGGAATAACTTTAGAACGGTAGCTTTTTTTTAAATTATTTTTTCGTGATTAATTATGGAATAAATGTTTCAACAAAACCTTAGATTTCCTGAAGCTAATTTATTAACACCTTATATAAATGAAACCTGTTTTCCGTTGTCACGCCATAACTTGATAACGGCTACACGGATTTGTCTGATTTTTTTTGTTGTGTTTGTTATTGTCAGAAGAAGGTTCTTATGACAGAAAAAATCCTAAAAATCCTACGGGAATGGGAGAAAACGATATTGCGCGTATGAAGTCGCGGGCAGAAGCTAGTCGTTAATAATAAAAAAGTATATTTACGATATATTGATTTGAAATGTCGAGTGACGTCATTTCTATGTACATTTTGTACGTAGAAATGACGTTTTAGCCTAAACTTTTATCTAAGTATTGTTTTATTATACGACTAAATAAAAAAAATACGTGTCTAATATTTTTTCATTACCTAACTTACGGACTAATTAGAGTTTCAATTTTCATACCCTGTCATCATCCCTATTATGTCGGCTTACATAATCCCAATAACACTGTAAAATCAATACAAAGAAATAATAATTGAATTTAAAGATTATTTCACATCACTAAGCAGCTAAAGTCTAAAAGGATTGAAAATGTCTCGATAGAATAAATTCAATCGCATTATTTTCATATCGGGACGAGATATAATTGAAACGGTGACCTTTATGGAATTTGTTGGTCGAGGATCCGATATGAAACGTGTTGAGACGTTTTTTAAAGTAGGTATAGGTTTATTATGAGAAGTAGCATCAATTGAACGTCATACATACATAACTTCACGCCTGTCTACCATGGAGTTTTAAGGGGAGAAAATCATCGAATGACTTCTCCCGCCTAGGTAAGGCGGGAGGGAGTGTCAGACTCTTACTGACTAAAAACCACCCCGTTCCTACTCCTGCACGTCGAGCCGGAGCCCCGGTAACCCGTTAAGTTCTCCACGGCTCCGTAACGGCATCAGCCCCATCCGTGGTGGTCTGAGGTCTCTTTGAGGCGCGTGCGGAACACGACGCGCAGTACGCACGGGGCTCGGGCTCCCATGGGAGTAAGCAGAGACTATGGAACGCCAATTGCTTCGATTCCTACATACCTCTTTCGCTTCATAAACAGTCATCATTCTTTTCATAAATGCTTGTCGGTTAAGATCATATTAGGATTATTTAACAGCTTTAATACGAATGCAGGAATTCAATTCATATAAAACAACGTTACATTTTTAATCACCGAATTGGTAGGTAGTTCTATGTTATAGGGGGTGTACCTATTGTCATGGAATATATTATCTAAATAATATAATAGGCACAAAATACAGACAAAAAATCGTCTCGTTTGCTTAACCGGAAAGGGAACCTACGATTTCTTGCTTCTACTTCTAGAGAGCAATACTAAATCAAGATTAACGAGATTACCCAAGGTCAATAAGACAGTCTAGTATAATTCATAATAATATAACCATTTACTTCTCTGAAATCTTTAAATTAAATCATTCGAAACTTAAAACAACCGATTTTGTCATTAATTCCAAAATAAGTGCTCAATACATCCCGATTTATCGTAAATCGTAATCCGTTTTACCCTAATGCTTTATACGCCACAATTCTCTCGTAAACATGATTTGTTACAAGGTATAAAACCGAAACAAACTGATTGAAATACTACATATAATTCTCGATACATTAATCTTCTGTGTAAGTCACAGTATTCACTGAAAGTATATTTTAATCCGATTGGAATAAGGTCGGTATTTGTGCTAACAAGCTGATGGTTTAATAATGAGAACTGTTGTAATGGTGGTTTGTAAATTAGTGTTTAAATGGAATGGAGTACCTAGTTGATTTTGAAAGAAATATTGAAGAATTTAACTGGGTCCTTCTGGTCAGCAACGCTACTTAAAATCAGTCCATAAGACTATGGAAATTAGGGTTTGAAATCGAAAATTACACAAAAATCTAGACCCAAAATTTGAACCGCTACCGATATCACGATTAGAAATCTTGCTACCCTTTGGCCAAAAAGCAATGTTTAGATCAGAATAAATTAGTAATAAATTCCGAGATATAATCGGACAAACTCTCGATAATCCGATAAAATAAAATAAGACCAGCAAAAGAGGTGCTCAAAACTCCTACGCACGTATGATAGTACCTTCATACGGACCCTTGTCTCCGAAATACGGCGACACACAGGTATTAAGTAAAATTCCGTACCAACAGGGATATTCTACAATCCAATAATCAGGACGATCGGATCCTACGGTCCTCAATTGTACGTACAAGCTATATAATACCAATATAAACTGACCTTTGAATGTCCGGAAAGATTATAGAAAGCGAGGCTGTGATAAGCTGGTTTAGTATTGCTTGATGTGCAGCCGTCTGTACATTGGAATCGCCCTCCACATTTGTCGGATAGAATCGATTTAGTATGAAGGTTAACTAACCGATCCGATCTAGTGTTCTTCAGCAATTTGCTGAAGGCTGGAGTTAGGATGTGAATCGATTATGTAATTTTCTCGATATTCTGTATCGATATCGTTTTAAGTGCATCCTTGATCTAGTGGCGAGTGAGTTTTTCTTGGTAAAAATAAATCTAGAAAATATCGCGGTTTCTAGAGCTCTCTGTTTGTGGTATATACGATTAAAAACCGTGTGATATAAAAGTATGTTTTTAGAGCATGTTAACGTATTATTTTCTTCTTTTTAATTCTTATTACGGTGTATTTTAAATTCAGGTATAAATAAAAAATTAAAACATATTGTGAATAGTCCATAGAATAAATCAATAAAAGAAACCACTTACCCTAACATAACTAGTCTGTAGCAGTTCTTCGGTGGCGGCACGGACTCGTCACAAGCCTGCAGCACAGGAGCACTTGGTCCTGGCGACCTTTCAGGGTCAGACTCCTCGCCAATCCCGGCCCCTCTTCGACATAACCATGAAGCTCCACATTTATCCCTCGCATCTTCAACAGGGGCCGCAAACTGACACCTTCTTGGAGATCTCCTCCCACTAGCGAGAGAAGACTTAAGCGGGGATGGGGGCGCTCGAACCGGGCTCGAAGTGGCTCGAACTGGGGACGTCGACACCTTCACTGGTGACGACTGTAAGGACAAGCCGCCCCTTTCCGTCGTTCCGTTCAACATTTTAGTGTTTTTGGCACTTTATTTCACATTATTGTTGTTTTTTCAAAATCACTTTTTTTGATTTTGTATTTGGGCTATGTTTTATATTAGTAACGGTTTTAACATTACACTGAGGATTTTATACTTTATTGAAATTGGTACTTCTCATTGCTCAAACCCCTCTTACGTGGATGTAGAGGAGGTTCATAGTCTAGCAGGGGACTATCACAAACTGCATACTCAATATTACTCAATATATACTGATGACTCAATAAACGTAAGAAAATTAGCAAATCCTCTGTTTCTTCACAAGTTTGTACTCCACAACCTTTACGAGTATTTCTTTCGAAAAGAACTGCGTAAAGATTTTTATTTGTACGACCGTCTGTAATCGCTTCTTACGTAAAGTTGTCGACAGGACGCCATGCGCCATTATTGTCGCCTGTTATTCTAATAACATCATAAGGATACGGCACTTTTATCGTAGAATATTGTTCCCGAGTTGAAGAACAAAAAATGTAGTTCGATTTTGTGTAAGAATGCTGGATAGTGAGACTCAACACAATGTTACGTAAAACCAAAGGTCTATAGATACGATGTAAAACCCACTTTTCACCAGTTTTATTATATGTCCCATATACCTTTCTTTATAAGCCGATAAACGAGCATACAGATCACCTGATGGTAAGCAATCGCCGCTGCCCATGGCCACCCGAATTTGAGGATTGTTGTGGATTTGGGGATTGAGGAGATTATGGAGGAGGTAATTGGGCCTCCGGTAACCTCACTCACACGACGAAACACAACGCAAGTGTTGCTTCACGGCGGTTTTCAGTGAGGCCGTGGTATCACTCCGGTCGAGCCGGCCCATTCGTGCCGAAGCATGGCTCTCCCACACTTAATCCCGTATACCTATTCCATACTCTTAATTACATTGTACTGATATGAATACCGATCCAGAATTCGAACCTAACAGAAAGGGAGCTGAGAATGCGAGTTATTGTCTTTTTCCGAATTATATATACATTCTAAGATTATTTAGACACCACTGACAAACGATGATGCATAACAACGTGAGGAAACCTGGGTTTATAATTTCTAATTACCTATAAGTTTCAAATCGCCAACCCGCATTGAGCAAACGTGGTGCTTGATGCTTAAACCTTTTCCGTGGTGCCTTTGGTCCGCAGTGGCCACTATAGGCTGTTGATTATTGTGTTGTTGTAGGAAGGAAGCGATTACTATAAGAACCAATGCATCATCATCATCATCTTACGATTCAGGTTAATAAAACAATCATTATTTGAGACTAGACATAGAAGACTAAAAATCTATTAAAACCAAATACACCTAGGCCAACGCTTTTAAAACCAGACCATACCACAACAAAATAGAGGCCATTTTCCCAAAGCAGTTACCATAAAAGCATACCATAATATACCTGAAACAACTTATTCTTGATGGTTATACTATATCGTATCGTAATAGGGAGATTTGAGTGCGTATCTCAGAGCACCCAAGTCATTAGGTTTGGATGGAAATAAGATGAAACGAGCGGAGTACAGAATCGATAGTTCATTATGTGAAAAGGAAGTATCTTCGTGCAAAACGATTTAGCCATCTTTTTTGCTTGATATTTTTGGATGAATCGTCTATCGAATGGTTTTGAGAGTTGAACATATTATGCCTAGGTTGAGGAAGGTGTCGAAAAAGAAAAAGTCGTGATGGCCCGGACATTTAAGACGCCCGCTTTTCATGCATGAGAGTGCGGGTTCGAAACCTACCATCGGCAAGTACCAATGTGGCTTTTTCGAGTTATATGTAGGTACTTTCTAAGATTATTTAGACACCACTGACAAACGATGAAGGAAAACATCGTGAGGAAACCTGGGCTTATAATTTATAATTATAAGTTTGAAATCGCCAACCCGCATTGAGCAAGCGTGGTGATTTCTTGCTCGTTCTTCCCCATAGGAATCTACACCTCGGAATGAGCAAATAGCTTCACTTTTAATGTTTTTTTGTAAGCGTTCAATTTTTTTATGGCATAAGCCGGTAAACGTGCTGACGAATCACCTGATGGTTAGCAATCGGCGTCGCCCATGGACACCTGGAACACCAAAATTACCTTCCTGGTCTAATTGAAATAAATGATTTTAACTTTGACTTTGACTATTTTATTATTTTCTTACAGAAACAAATACATATTTTGGACCGAATGATTTGAAATATCGCGTGGCGTTACTTCTAGGGACGTTTTATACGTAGAAATGACGTTTTAGGTCCCACTCCTAAACTTCGATTCGTTTTATCTAAGTATAATCCTTTAAGACAAAATAATACATAATTATATAAATACTTACGTGTCTAATAGTTTTTCATTATCTAAGTGACGGTATAATTACATTTTTAATTTTCATACACACACACACACATAATTTGCACACAAACACACATACATGAAAAACAAACGGCGAACCCCCTTCTTTGTTTGAAACCAATTAAAAATACTATCTACTTTCATTACCGAATTAAACACAGAGGTTCTAATAACATAACATAACATTACGCTTTTTTATCCCCGAAGGGGTAGGCAGAGGTGCACATTTCGGCACTAAATGCCACTGTACAATGTAACACCCACTTTTCATTATTTATGTTATGAGTCCCATGTAATAGGGGGTGAGCCCATTTCCAGACTACGTGCTACTACTGAGATTTTTAAAAACCCAGTAATATTTTGCCCGACCCGGGAATTGAACCCGAGACCCCATTGCCCGGCAGTCGCACAAAAAATGTAGTTCGATTTTCTGTAAGATTTCTGAATAGTGAGACTCGACATAATGTTACGTGAAACCAAAGGTTCACAGATACGATGTAAAACCTCCATTTCACCAGTTTTATGTGTACTCACGTACTTTTTTTTATAAGACAGAACAGACAGATTACCTGATGGTAAGCAATCGCCGCCGCCTATGGATACCCGAAACACCAGAGGTGCATCACCATCATTTTATGATTCAGTTTAATAAAACAATCCTTTGAGACTAGATATCGAAGACTAAAAATAAAAAATAAAACCTAGGCCAACGCTTTTAAAATCAGACCATGCCACAACAAAATAGAGGCCATTTTCCTAAAGCAGTTTCCATAAAAGCATACCATAATATACCTGAAACAACTTATTCTTGATGGTTATACTATATCGTATCGTAATAGGGAGATTTGAGTGCGTATCTCAGAGCACCCAAGTCATTAGGTTTGGATGGAAATAAGATGAAACGAGCGGAGTACAGAATCGATAGTTCATTATGTGAAAAGGAAGTATCTTCGTGCAAAACGGTTTAGCCATCTTTTTTGCTTGATATTTTTGGATGAATCGTCTATCGAATGGTTTTGATGGTTGAGCATTTTATGCCTAGGTTGAGGAAAGTGTCGAAAAAGAAAAAGTCGTGGTGGCCCGGAGGTTTAAGACGCCCGCTTTTCATGCATGAGAGTGCGGGTTCGAAACCTACCAACGGCAAGTATCAATGTGGCTTTTTTCGAGTCATATGTACTTTCTAAGATTATTTAGGCACCACTGACAAACGATGAAGAAAAACATCTTGAGGAAACCTGGGCTTATAATTTATAATTATAAGTTTGAAATCGACAACCCGCATTGAGCAAGCGTGGTGATTAATGCTCAAACCTTATCCGTGTGAGAAGAGGCTTTGCTCAGCAGTGGGCATTTATAGGCTGTTGATGATGATGTTGAGGAAGGTGCTAAAACTGTCTCTTTGAAGATGATTTTGTTTGCAAGTACGCAACCTTAAGAAAATAAGAGGTCCTTCTTGGAAAAGTAAATATAGGGTATATATTAAAAGGGTAGATGACTAATTTTTATTTTAATGCCCGTCTGGTAGATTGTCATAAAATATTAGACAAGTATTGGAGTTTCTTGCTCATTCTTCTCCATAGGAATCTACAACTTGGAATGAGCAAAAATATACAACCCCTATCGTAGCTGTTAAAATAGCATTCAGGGTACGGAATATAAAGCCAAAGTCAATACCATTTAGTTCATTAAATATTCACATAATACGGATGCAATGGGTTCCAGTGTTGCAACTCAAGAGTACGACATTTCACAAGACCAATGTCGATCGATCGGAATTAGATTCAAGAGTAAGCCCCCTGTTCGCTCTTGTACCTTCAAAACGATGTCCTAATCGATAACCTCCCTAATTGGACCAACACAACATCGATAGCTGATAGTGTTCATGACTTCCGAGTGATGTCCCGGATTTATACTCGGGTATAGAGAGGTCCAGAGTCCGGAATTTGATCCGGGAAACATGTTATTACAAAATGGGATGTAGGATAAGAATTTTATTCTTTATTCTATTATGTAAGTTTAATATTGCGTTAGTTTTTGATTGATGGACAAACTGATGTTTATTTGAAGTAAAGTTGGAAGAAAGACTGCCTCGTTGGCCGAGTGGACGCAAGTGCGACTGCATGGCAAGGGGTCTCGGGTTCGATTGCCCGGTCAAGCAAACTGCTACTGGGTTTTTAAAAAAAATCTCAGTAGTATGACGGAGTCTGGAATTGTGCCCGGTATATGGCAATAGGCTCACCCTCTATTACATGGGAATCATAACATAAATAGTGAAAAGTGTTACATTGTATAGTGACATTGAGTGCCGTATTATGCACATCTGTCTACCCCTTCGGGGATATAAGGGGTGATGTTATGTTATGTTTACGATGTTCAAGAAACGTTTTATATTGCATAAAGCATCCATACATTATTAGATACGGACTGCCGTCGAACAATGGGGCCACTCGGCTTATGAAAGCAGTAGTCTCTTCACTTACTTCATATCTTCTATTCTTCACACAAATTGAAAGCATTTCTTTCTTACTATCTTTTTTTAAGTTTCATTTAAAATAATGACTTTATTTAAAGCTACATAGAGTCGTATATATTTGAAATTAACTGTGCGGAGTTATGTGTTTGTGGCAATAATATCAATAAAAACCTTTTACTTTAACATAACGTAACATCACGCCTTTTACCCCGAAGGG